ACAACAACAACAACAACAACAACAACAACAACAACAACAACAACAACGCGTTGTGATGGGACAACGATCCGGTTTTTCAGGACCGTAGTTTTCATTCATGTGGGTTCATTGCAGCATCCTCCAACAGGTCACATAAAGAGACCGGGTAGGGCCCAACAAGCCTCTAGCGAGGAGACCTGGCAGTGAGGATGCTGGTACCAAGGGTGAATGAGGAGAATCAGGGTCGCGGGAGTTCTTGTTCCACATCGAAGTATCATGTTCCACGGACCCTTCCCTCTTCCCGTTGAAGAATTCGCCCTGTTGACTAATAGATATATATATATATATAATTGCAAAAACAGCTTCCAACCAAGCGGAACCACACCAATGCCAGGTTTGAGTCTTGGCACAAGGGTGCCTTTTAGGAAGCAACAAATGCAGCTGCATCAAGCAACTTCCATGTCCACCACTCGGTTGAAATCTCTTGTTCAGGAAAGCTGCCACTGACTGGTCCTCCCAAACAAAACAATATAGAGGATGCTTTGCCATAAACTGGTTTGATGTTGCTACTCAACCGTGTATTTCAGAGTGTCCTAAATTCCGATTCCGCCGGTTTTGTTGGCATGTTTGGGGTGCAAAACAAGTACATGCTCCAGGTGCTCTTCACTTGTGCAAACTTGGATGGATTTGGAGGATGATTGAACTTGGAACTTATAGCAGGTGAGAAAAAACAATCAGGAGTTAAGCAGGAGATGCACTACATCAATAGGGAGCTCTCCTCACTCGTGTTGTCCAAGCTGCCTTTCATCTCAGTGACCATGCGCCAAGCAGAGCGACGGTCATTCTTGCTCACCACCGCGTTCAGCAGCGCGTGGTAGGTCACCTCAAGGGATTTTGGGAGTCGTTGATGTGGCCAAGAAGCCCATGACAAAGGCGTTTTGACAAAGTCCTGTGAGTCAAAACCTCTGTAAACCCAACCATAGGTTCGATTGACATCCCGTACATCCCCTACACCTCCGTTTTCGTACCGTACCTCAGGTTCGGTACGAAAACGAAGCCTCCTGGCACCCACCCCAGTCCCACCGAACCTCAGGTACGGTACGAAAACGGAGGCCTAGGGATATAGAGGAATCTGTTCATTTTCGCTGGGACACACGGTGCCGCTGGGTGCCGCTGTTGGAGACAAGAACTTCAGGAGTGCTATGGCACCGACGTTGGGAGATGCGGTCCAGTCCGGTCCTTTGCGCTTCAAAACTCCTTCATCCACCGCATCCACCCACGCGCTCCGTTCATCCACCTCGAAAAACATGCTTTCTCCCAGTGGCACGGCTGGCCACCAAGCCAGCTTGGTGCATCTCTTGGAAGACTCTCTGGGCTGCCATGGTGTCGTTTACTGCGAGATGGCCTAGAAGAAGCTCGGCTCGAGGTCCCCGCGTTTGGTCCTATGCAGGAGTCGTTGATCTCCAAAAAGCATTGAAGGAATCAATTCTGCAATGAGCTTAAATATTGGAAGACATGGTACTTATATAGCGTAGCTGTACCTGGATCTTCAAAGTGACCCAAACAGAGATCCCAGATTGGGAAGGACCTGTATTTTGATGCTATTTTAGGTATCTTTAAGGACCATTCGATGCTTTTGTTCACCCGATTGAGGGGAAAACCCGGCAACTGCTGTCGCCACCACCCCGCCCGGCGACGAAGCAAATAGAGCGTTGTAGCCTTTCATAATGGTGTTGTAGCTGACCACGTCCGCCAGGGAGTTCCTCAATCTGAAAGCGATCTGCAAATTAGAAGCCCTTTGCAATGAATCGATCATGAATCATGAACATCCATTGGCAAGTAAAAACAATTTAGCCTGGGTCTACTTGAAAGGCAAAAGCAAAGTGTTTTTTTCCACAAAAGGTCTGACAAACAAAGGGTGCCCACCTTTACACAATGTATAAGGAAACCCGCGGAAAGTTTGATCTGGAGAGGGTGTATCCACCTGACAGCAGTGAATCTGGAATTTCTGGACCTTTTCCTCCGAAAAATCTGGGCAAGCAGGACACAGAATTTGACACAGTGGAACTTGAGAGGAGGGAGACACGAAAGGTAGGACAGCGGGAAGAGAAGAGAACGCGAGAGGCAGGAACAAAAATGCAATGTTCGACATGGTGATTTATCCCCTCGGAGGCGACCTTTTGTAATTATATGTTCATACCTAGGACTTCCTAACGACTATTATTTTAGTAGTTTCTGGAAAA